TCAAACATGCTAAGCAGGTGCTCTATTGCTGAGTACTCCAGTCCAAGGATTTCTTTAGACTATCTGCCCTAGACTCTATCTTGTATATACCACACTTGGTGAAGCCTGCATAGGAAAATTTGGGATCAATGATCAAGCTTATTTATTTGCTGTACTGAAGACTGAGCCTAGGATTGCTCTATGGCTGAGCTATATCCCTAGTTCCCCTTTTTTCTTTTAATTTTTAAAAAATTTTTAAAAATTTAACTGATTTTATTTTTAAATACGTGACAGAAGAATGCATCACAATTCTTATTACACATATAGAGCACAATTTTTCATATTTCTGTATATAAAGTATGTTCACTCCAATTCAGATCTTCATACATGTGCTTTGTTTTTTTTTTAGAGAGAATTCTTTAAATATTTATTTATTTATTTTTTATATTTTGGCGGATACAACATCTTTGTTTGTATGTTGTGCTGAGGATCGAACCCGGGCCGCACGCATGCCAGGTGAGCGCTACAGCTTGAGCCACATCCCCAGCCCCCTCCATACATGTACTTTGGATAATATGTCCATCACATTCCATCATCATTGCTAATCGTCTGCCCCCTTCCTTTCCCTCCCATGCTTCTGCCCTATCTAGAGTTCCTCTATTCCTCCCATGCTCCCCATCCCTACTCCATTATGAGTCAGTCACCTTAGAGAAAACTTTCAGCATTTGTTTTTTTGGGATTGGCTAACTTAACATTATCTTCTCCAACTCCATCCATTTACCTGCAAATGCCATGATTTTATTCTCTTTTAATGCTGAGTAATATTCCATTGTGTGTATATACCACATTTTCTTTATCCATTTCATTCATCTACTGAAGGGCATCTAGGTTGGTTCCACAGTTTAGCTATTGTGAATTGTCCTGCTATAAACATTGATGTGGCTGTGTCCCTGTAGTATGCTGTTTTTAAGTCCTTTGGGTAGAAACTGGGGAGAGGGATAGCTGGGTCAAACGGTGGTTCCATTCTCAGTTTTCCAAGGAATCTCCATACTGCTTTCCAGATTGGCTGCACCAATCTGCAGTCCCACCAGCAATGTATGAGTGTGCCTTTTCCCCCACATCCTCGCCAACACTTATTGTTGTCTTCATAATAGGCCTGGAGTGAGATGATATCTTAGAGTAGTTTTGATTTGCATTTCTCTAATTGCTAGAGATGATGAATATTTTTTTCATATATTTGTTGATTGATTGTATATCCTCTTCTGAGAAGTGTTTGTGCAGGTCCTTCGCCCACTTATCAATTGGGTTATTTGTTTTTTTTCTTTGGTGTTTGGCTTTTTGAGTTCTTTATATACCCTAGAGATTAGTGCTGTATCTGATGTGTGAGGGGTAAAAATTTGCTCCCAAGATGTAGGCTCTCTATTCACCTCACAGATTGTTTCTTTTGCTGAGAAGAATCCGTTCCATTTACTGATTCTTCATTTTAATTCTTGCTCCAAGGAGTCTTAAGAAAGTTGGGTCCTGGGCTGGGGATGTGGCTCAAGCGGTAGCGTGTTTTCCTGGCATGCGTGCGGCCCGGGTCCGATCCTCAGCTCCACATACAGACAAAGATGTTGTGTCCGCCGATAACTAAAAAATAAATATTAAAATTCTCTGTCTCTCTCTCTCTTAAAAAAAAAAAAAGATGGCTATCTTCCAATATTGACTTCTCTCATTTCCTTCTCGCCTTTTTTTTTTTTTTTTGAGAATTTTAATATTTATTTTTTAGTATTTGGCGGACACAACATCTTTGTTTGTATGTGGTGCTGAGGATCGAACCCGGGCCGCACGCATGCCAGGCGAGCGCGCTACCGCTTGAGCCACATCCCCAGCCCATCCTTCTCGCCTTTTTAAAAAAAAAAAAAAAGTTGGGTCCTAACCCACATAATGGAGATTAGAGCCTACTTTTTCTTCTATTAGAAGCAGAGTCTCTGATTTAATTCCTAGGTCCTTGATCCACTTTGAGTTGAGTTTTGTGCATGGTGAGAGATAGGGGTTTAATTTCATTTTGTTGCATATGGATTTCCAGATTTCCCAACACCATTTGTTGAAGATGCTATCTTTTCTCCAGTGCATGTTTTTGGCACCTTTGTCTAATATAATTGTAATTTTGTAGGTTAATGTCTGTGTCCTCTATTCTGTACCATTGGTCTACCAGTCTGTTTTGGTGCCAATACCAAGCTGTTTTTCTTACTATTGCTCTATAGTATAGTTTAAGTAAGGTCTGGTATAGTGATGCCACCTGCTTCACTCTTCCTGCTTGGAATTGCTTTAGCTATTCTGGGTCTCTTATTTTTCCAGATGAATTTCATGATTGCTTTTTCTATTTCTATAGGAATGTCATTGGGATTTTGATCGGAATTGCATTAAATCTGTATAGTGCTTTTGGTAGTATGGTCATTTTGATAATATTAATTCTGCCTATCCAAGAGCAAGGAAGACCTTTCCATCTTCTAAGGTCTTCTTTAGAATCATATGATCATCTCAATAGATGCAAAAAAAGCATTTGACAAAATACAGCACCCCTTAATGTTCAAAACACTTGGGGCTGGGGATATGGCTCAAGTGGTAGCGCGCTCGCCTGGCCTGCTTGCGACCCGGGTTTGATCCTCAGCACCACATACAAACAAAGATGTTGTGTTCGCCAAAAACTGAAAAATAAATATTAAAATGATTCTCTCTCTCTCTCTTTAAACAAACAAACAAAAAACACAACAGTGCTCACTTCGGCAAAAATTGGAATGATACAGAGAAAATTAGCATGGCCCCTGCGCAAGGATGACACACAAATTCGTGAAGTGTTCTATATTTTTGAATTGTAATGTAAAAAAATTATGAATGTAATGCACTACACTATTGTCATGTATGTAAGAAATAATAAAAAAATAAAAAATAAACAAACAAAAAACACTAGAAAAACTAGGGATAACAGGAACATATCTCAACATCGTAAAGGCTATCTACGCTAAGCCCCAGGCCAACATCACTCTAAATGGAGAAAAATTAAAATCAATTCCTCTAAAAACTGGAACAAGGCAGGGATGCCCTCTTTCACCACTTGTATTTAACATAGTTTTTGAAACACTGGCCAGAGCAATTAGACAGATGAAAGAAATTAAAGGGATACTTATGGGAAAATAAATTAGCACTATTTTCTGATGATATGATTCTATACCTAGAAGACTCAAAGAGCTCCACCAGAAAACTTCTAGAAGTAGTGAGTTCAGCAAAGGAGCAGGATATAAAATCAACACCCATAAATCAAAGGCATTTCTGTATATCAGTAACAAATCCTCTGAGGGAAATGAGGAAAACTATATCCCATTTACAATAGCCTCAAAAAAAAAAAAAAAAAAGACTTGGGAATCAACGAAAGAGGTGAAAAATCTATACAATGAAAACTATAGGGCTGGGGATGTGGCTCAAGCGGTAACGCGCTTGCCTGGCATGCATGGGGTGCTGGGTTCGATCCTCAGCACCACGTAAAAATAAAGATGTTGTGTCCACCGAAAACTGAAAAATAAATATTAAAAAATTCTTAAAAAAAAACAAAACAAAACTATAGAACCCTAAAGAAAGAAATCAAAGAAGACCTTAGAAGATGGAAAGATCTACTCGGGTCCCTTTTTATTTTTATGTGGTGCTGAGGATCGAACCCAGGGCCTTACCCCAGCCTCTAATTCTGTTATTTTGAGACAGGATTTTGATAAATTGCCTGAGCTGGCATTGAAATTGAGATCCTCCTGCCTCAGCCTCTGGAGTTGCTGGGATTACAGGTGTGCTGTTATCTAGTCCAGTCTATAAATTTGTTTCACTCACTGATGTGGTAAATCAAAATTGAAAAGGTAACAGGAACTTTGACCTGGAGGGCTTGTGTGATCCACTATGGGGCTTTAATTTTTATTGTAATTTATTGGAAGTGACTGGATTTTAAATAGGATAGTGACTTACGGATCACCTGAGAGAAGTGTAGGATGAATTTTTGAGTGCAAAGACTGGAGGAAGAAAGTAGAAGCATGAGAAAAGCAGAAGCCAACAGATAATTTTCACTGAAGAAAGCAACTTAATTTATTAAGTATAAAAAGTAATGCAGGGAAGCTTTTTAATTTAACCTGCATAATAAACAAGTATGGCTATTTTTATATATGATATTCAAAGAAACTAGCTCAAGTCACAACAGGTATCCAGTAAGCAAAGCCAGGATTTAAAGCTAACTTTATTGTTATAGTTAGAACAACAACAACAAAAAAATGAGCTTGTGATGTCATGTACATTCAGAATTTTTATTTCAAAACAAAGAACCACAATAACATTAATAGAAAATCCATATGGAAATATTCACAACCTGGTCATTGAAAAGTGGGAGAAGTTCTACGCTGCTTAACTGCCAACTCACTGAGAAGCCAGAAGAGGTAAAGTCAGGTAAGTCCCCTTTTCCAACAAAGCATTGCTCCATAGCTATGTGAGTTTTCTTCCAAAGGCTCAATGACCAGAGGGAATGATGAGAACTGAAGAGTAAAATACTGTTATATGCAAGGGTTTGGCTAAAGGGTCTGACATGAGTAAGCACCAAAGAGGGAAGGGAGATCAGGCAACCTATGAAAAAGGGAAGAGGCTGAGTGTCATCAGGGCCAATCTCCACTTACAAATGTACTGGGGAATTTGGAGATGATTGTGGAGGTGTCCAGGACCTCTATGGGGCAGGAGTAAATCTCACCATCTCTAACCCTCTGAAACACTCCAGTCTTCCTTTGTTTCTCTTAAGAGAATGCCTTCTTCTTCCCATATCCAACATCCCCAAGAGCCACATGCCCTGATCTTACACTCTTTCCTATTCCCATTGTTCCTCCCATCTGTAGTAAGGCTGAACCCTCCTCCACCCTCAACCTCAAGATGTAGAAGCTCTCCCCCACGCTCTCCCCCACTCCAATAGGGAAAGGTAGCCAGATGAACCAGAAATCTAAAGTTCCACCCAGCAGAGGCAGTGTTACCTATGTACATAGGGATGAGTTTTAATACAGTAGATCCAAAAGAACAAAGGAACAAAGGAACAATAAACTACTTTCAACCAGAGCAAAGTGACAGTGCACATACATTCATATTCTCTCAAGTGTGGGCTACACTGTACATTTACTCATACTATTTCAAATGTGTCTATCAGAAAGATTCAAGTCCCCTAAGGGTACCTGATATAGTATCAGGGCAACATGGTAATAAGGATAATTTTGACACGTAACAGACACAGACAGGCATGCCATGACCTTAGAGCAAAACTACTAAAACTAGATAATTGTTTAAAAAAAATTAAAAATAAAAAACCCTCTCCCAGAGCTGAGGTTACAAATTCCAATTTAGCTATAAACATTTTCCTTTGAATCCCTTTAAAACAAGTTAAAACATAAAATCTTAAAGAACAAAGTGAAGAAATACCGAACACCTAAGCAGTAACCAATTTTTTTTTTTTTTTTTAGGTTTCTCATTTGGAGGGCTCTGCCACCAGATAGGTGATGGAATTACTTAAAGCATATGAGTCCACTATCAGGGGAAGGAGTTGTTTGGACTAGGAAGGCTTTCTGCAAATAAACATCCTTCCCTTCTCTGGGCTCCATCCAAAATTAAAACCCATCAACCACCATTAACTATAACACCCATCTTAATAAACATTAGATTTCAAGTAATACTATAAACTATAATCTTAAAGAAAAATCCCAAAGGAAACCAGTAGCTTTTTTATACAGGCACATGACTGAGAAATCAAACGAAATTTCTGTCTGAAACACATTGTCATTAGGCAACATGCAGACTTCAGGCACCATATCACATACCCTCCACCAACAGATATTTCTTCCTCAATTCTTCCTTCTTGTTGTACCTCTCCAGTATCAAATCATCTTTGCCCTAGAACCTCTTTAAACACCTCTCTCTAACCTTTATTTCCTTATATTTTCATTATTTGGTAAAATTACTTTACACTTAAAAAAATAAATATTTATGCAATAAAACCAGAAGATAAAATAAATAAAACTCAAGTTACTTTGCTGTGCAGAGCTGTGTGAAAGTGAGGAAGTTGCTCTTATTTAATTCCCCATAACCCTCCACACTATGTATATCTGCTTCCTGACAAGTCTGAGGTTGGGGGAACTGCACCCTAACTCTTTACTCCCCTATGTGCCCTAGTGAGGCAATTAGAACCTAAGGGAAGAAGAGCTGGCAACGTTGTCATACGCCAAGCAGCCAATCTCTCCTGAAATGAAGAAGGTCGGTTCACTTGATCTCTCCTAAACAGGAGAGAATGTCCAAGAAATGAAATATTTAAAAAGCATTGAAGATCTGACTAACCCCAACACTGGGTTCATCTGAGTGTTCAGAAGTGTGTGGGATGAGAAGGGAATCAAGTAGCAGCATTCGGAAGCAGTCCTGGGTTCATCCTGATGAAGTCTCTCTCTCTGTTCAGGGAGAGGTTGCTTTCCATGTTGGGAGAGAGGTGGAAGGAGGTCTGACTAGACATTGGTGGTGTTCTCCTTAGCAGGCTGGCTGCTGTTCATCTCCCCCACAGAGCCTTTCCCAGCTCTATTATTGGACTCATTACCATGCCCTTCAAAGGCCCGTGTGATATCCTCAAAAGTCCTGCCTCGGGTCTCAGGGACTTTGAAGAACGTGAAGACCAGGAAGATAATGAGGAAAGTGGCGAAGACAAGAAAAACGTAGGCTCCCAAATAGGCCTAGAAAAAGGAAAAAAAAAAAAAAAAAAGGAAGGTTCACGTAAAAATCTGGTCACTGATGATTTCCTTCACATCTATGTCTCTAATAGGCCTCAAGCCCCTCTATATTTAATGGTTAATTTAATGCAAGGTTTCTTCAGAGATTCCTTCACGATGCCATTGCTAACTTCCTATGTTTCTCTGCAATTTTTTATTGTTCATTTTCTATTCACTAAAGTTAGCTGCTTTCCAATACCTCCAAACCATTTGATTTATTCGTTTATTAATATATATAGTACTGGGGATTGAACCCGGGGTTCTTTACCCCTGAGCTACACCACTAGCTCTTTTTATTTTTTGAGACAAGGTCTTACTAAATTAATTGCCCAGGCAGGTCTTTCTATCCTGTCTCAGCCTCCAGAGATTCTGGGATTATAGGTGTGTGTACTGCTGAGCTTGGCCTCCTACTAAGCATTTTAAAATCATGAAGTCATTAATGCTAATTCAAATTATGAATCAAGAATGGATTTGGAATCCTTTGAGGCTCAGTATCATTCTGATTTTAGGCAAACAAACATCATCTCAGGATAGTGGTCTTTAAAATTTTCCATATTAAGCCTGAAATTAGAGGCCAGCCTCAGCAGTTTAGTGAGACCCTATCTCAAAATAAACACAAGGGGCCGAGGATGTAGTTTAGTGGTAGAGTGTCCCTGGGATCAATCCCTAGTACTGCAAAAACAAAGTTCCCAGTTTTGCCCTCCTGCTTTAATCTTTTCTGTTATTTATTTTTCTATATTTCATGGAAATGAGAAAAAAACTGATTTAAAGCACTTGAGATCTAATCCTTCACGGGTCAGTAATAATTATTAAGATGTAACTTAAACATATTGACCTAAGTGGGTTGGTTAAGACAAGCTGTTTTGTTTGAATTTACTTACTGCAGCTGAGGGAAAGAGCAGTCCAACCAAAAAGTTGGAGGTCCAGTTAGAACAACCAGCCACTGCCATGGCTGCTGGGCGTGGTCCCTGTCCAAAGAGTTCAGCCACAATAAACCATGGAATAGGCCCTGGTCCAATCTCAAAGAAGGCCACATAGATCAAGATAGCTGTGATACAGACAAAGCTCATTGCATTATAGTTATCCTGTAAGAGGAAGAAATGGAAGAAATTTAATATTAAAGAAGTGTGATCCAGGGGTCTAGTTTCACTTAGATGAGAGCTGATTAAATGGCAAGTTCCTTCTATCCTGTGGCACAGTGCAATTACTGGATTTGGAATCCAGAACCTTAGGTTTCTGAAATCTCAATTCTGTGATCTCACTTATAAGCCATATCATACACAGGTTAAGGATAATATTAAGTTAAAAGCTCTGATGATCTTAAAAATTCTGGGTTATCTTGCACCTCTTAAATTTAACTTTATCAATGAACTTCAACCTCGACAACCCATCCCTTGAAGGGGAGTCAAATGTAACCTCCATACCATCCCCCTTTCCTTCACTCAAAGAACACTCACCTTCAATAACAAAGAAATAGTCATGATGATGGAACATATAGCCATTCCTCCAAGGCCTATCATATGTAAAGTCCTTCTTCCTGCCCTTTCCACCAGAAACAGCTGAAAGAAGAACATAACATGAAACTTCTGGTTTCCATTTCATGAAAACCCAGTTAAGAGCTACTAGAATTCTGCCTTACCAACAGCAGGATATTTGCTATAGCCACAACTATCTTTCTCCAGTTGCATATATAATCCTTCTATACCTCCCCCTTTCCTGTCATTCCATCTTTGCTTGAAGAGTGAAGACGACTACAATATTCTTTTTCCCCAAAGAGGAATGCAACAAAAGACAGCTAACTGATGGTATGGTGGTTGAAGGACACGCAATTCACCTTTGAACAGATTTCCTCTTTTCTCCCCCCCTTCAAAATCATCCAAGTGTTCAACTTACAGAAACTACAGTGAAAATAGTATTAACAACACCGGCTCCAATGGTAGCATATATTGGCTCATCAACACCTGCTTCCTTAAAGATTCCTGTTGAGTAATAGAACACCTAGAAACAAACAAAACACACACCTTTGATATGATTATGTGTAATAGTTAAATAAAACTCTCAAAAACTAAACTCAAGTCCCAGGAGGTAAGATGTCTTTTCTAGAGTCTTTGTGCACAGTATTCTTCTGCAAATGAATTGTCTTCTCTATCTTATTCCATTCTCTTAATTCTGCTCCATTCCAGCTACTTAATTCATTTCTAAGACTAAGGACAATAAAATTTTCATTCTATTTTCCTCCTTGTGAAATATAGATATAATTTTAAAAAACAAAAATAAAACTCAGTCAAAAATCAGTATTTTCTGAGTGCCTTAAGAGCTACAGCTAAAACCACTCATTCCTTATTGTTTTTTTTTTAATATTTTTTTTTGTTGTAGATGGACATAATATCTTTATTTTATTTATTTTTTTAATGTGGTGCTAGGATCATACCCAGTGCCTCACTTGTGCTAGGCAAGCGCTTTACCACTGAGCCACAACCTCAGCGTCTTAATGTTTTTGAGGTGGGAGTCTTTCAATCCTGTTCACCAGGCATTCTTGAACTCCTGCATTCAAGCGATGCTCCTGCCTCACTCTCCAGAGTAGCTGGGAACACAGGATCATACCACCATGCCTGGCTGATCAGGTTTTAAGTGAAATACTGTAGGATTCCTTTGACCCAAAAGTAGATACTCACAGCATTGATCCCAGAGAGCTGCTGGGAGAGCTGGAGCATAATGGAAATGAGGAGGGGTTGTTGGTAGTTGGGTGATTTAAAGAGCTGCAGCACAGAGACTTGCTTTTCCTGTGACATTCTAACACTCTCTTCTTTCATTTCCAGGATATCCTGGTTCACATCTGGTGTGCCCCATAACCGTTGGAGGACTGGTAAAAAGAAATGGAAAGGATAAAGACATTGTGCTGCCCCCAATTCCTTTCACACAGCTAGGAGAAGCCATTTCAAATGAAGGGACTGTTGTAGTTTGGATTTGGTGTGTCCCCCAGAGGCTCATGAGTCCCCAAGGAGCCATGTTCAAGTGATTAGCTCATAAGGGCTCTAACCTCAAAGGATTGATCAATTGGTGTATTTACAGCTGAATGGGCTATTAGGAGGTAGTGGGAACTGTACAAGGCAGGACCTAGTTGAAGGGAGTATCATTCTTATCATGAAGTCTGAAAGATACTTACTCCTCTTAGCATTCTCCTCTTCTTTTCTGTTAATGAGCAAGAATCTAGGACTTTCAGGGCAAAATGGAAGGGCTATACTTTGTAGGACAGCTGGAATAATTGTTAAGCCCAACAGCACAGGCCACAGATCTTCAGATCCCAGGATAAATTTCAGACCAAATATCTAGAAACCAAAGATAATGTTATAAACCCCATACTTCCTAGGCCACAAGTTCATTTTTAAAAGTTTAAAAATCATCATTCTTTTACCACAGAAAAAAGATAAATTGTGTTTCTTACCCTTTTTTGTCCTGCTTGCTTCAAGAGCTACAATCTACGAGCTATAGTAACATTAACTGAAACTATGTGTACACACACATACACCATATACAATTGAATGTGTGCCAGTCATCCTTTTGAGTTCTTAATCTATGTTACTTCATTCAATGAACATGAAACTAACACTCATTAAGTAAGAAATTATAGGGTACCTGAGCCACCAGAATCCCAATGACGATCCCCAGCTGGTTGAGAGTGCCAAAGGCACCCCGCAGAGCAGTAGGAGATACTTCGCCAATGTACATGGGCACAAAACCTGTACAGAGTCCACAGAAAAGTCCAATAATCAAGCGGCCCAGGATTAACATCTCAATGGACTCAGCAATCTTGCAGAACCCCATGAGGCAGCCACCAGCAACAGCCAACAGGTTGACTATAAGCATTGAATTGCGCCTATCAGGTGAACCAGAGACAAAAGTATTAGTAAAGTGAGAAGATCCTAATCTCTACTCTTCTTTCCTCAAATGTTTTGCCCTTCTGCAGGCTCTTATTTTCTCCTGTGGCTTAAATTTTCTTTTCCATTTTCTATTCTTGGAACATTTCTAGTTGGAACAATGGTTTTTAAACTTCTTCATACATAAAACTCAAAGAACATTTAAGACTTTGTGCAAGTCCCAGCTGTAACCTAGGATTTCAGTAAGCATCCTACCAAGTAGTTCTCAAAAAGTGATCTAACCAGTTAACAACATCAGTTAGAAATCTCCTAGAAATTAACTCTTCCACTTCATCTAGATTTAATCATTAGATCTGACTCTGGGGACATGTCCCAGCAGTGTTCTGAAAAGCCCTCCAGGTGATGTGATACAAGATGAACTTTGAGAACAATTGCCCTTGGCCAGCAATTCTGACATAGCTGGTCTACCAACACACAAGACATTTTTGGATCAGTGCTAATCATTTTATACCTTTATTTTATTTGATTGCTGGCGATCAAACTCAGGTCCTTGGGCATGTTAGGTAAATGCTCTACCACTGAGCTATACCCCCAACCCCATTAAATTATTTCTTTTCCTGTGCTGGGGATTGAACCTAGGGCCTCATGCACATTAGGCAAGCACCCTACCACCAAGCTACATTCCCAGTCGCCATTAAGTGCTTTTTAATGCCTTTTATGCAATGTATAGATATCACTGATACTATAATGATAGCAAATTAATTCAGGCAAAAGTTTTTCTATATCACAGAAAATTATACTCAAAATAGTCTCTAGGCTATACTGTGGTAATGATATTAACAATGAATATTGAGAGTTGGCGCAATGATCAATTTGAGGCCAACCTCTGCAACTCAGCACGACCCTGTCTCAAAAATAAAAAGGACTGGGAATGTAGCTCAGATAGTGGAGTCAACACCCTCTACCAAAACAGTAAAACAAAAATGAGGACTTAGGTAGCACAGGGATTGAACCAGGGTGCTCTACCACTGAGCAACTTCACTGGCCTTTGTTGTTTGTTTTGAGACAGGACCTCATTAAATTGTAGAAGCTAGCCTTGAACTGTGATCTTCCTGCCTCAACCCTGAGTTTCTGGGTTTACAGGTATGTGCCAACACACCAAACATCTGGAGAGTGTTCAAAAATACTAATACATATATCTCATTCCCAGACATGCTCGTAATTGACTTTGTATGACCTGGCACTGGGACTTTCAAAAGCTCTGCCAGAAAATTCTAAGTGTACAGTCTCCCTGGCCCCCATCTATTAGTATTTTTGTTTTTGTTTTTGCTAATCAATAACGGGCATAAGTTAAAATTTTAATGACTTTAGAAACTGGGATTATAGGTCAATGGTAGAGTGGGTGCCTAGCACGTATGTGACCCTGGGTATGATCCCTAGCACATAAAAAAACAAAAAAAAACTAATGACATTAATAACATGTAGCTATCCTCTCCAAATGAAAAAAGACCACTGGGCACGTGGCACATTCCTGTAATCCCAGCCACTTGGGAGGCCAAGGCAGAAGGATCTTGGGTTCAAGGCCAACATGAGGACTTAATGAGTTGTCTCAAAATCAAATTTAAAAGAGGTTGGGAGCCGGGCGTGGTTACATACGCCTGTAACCCCAGGGGCTTGGGAGGCTGAGACAGGAGGATTGAGTCCAAAGCCAGCCTCAGCAATGGTGAAGCTGCTAATCAACTCAGTGAGATGCTGTCTCTAAATAAAATACAAAATAGGGGTGGGGATGTATCTCAGTGGTGGAATGCCCCTGAGCTCAATTCCCACACCCATCCACCCCCCAAAAAAGGGCTGGGGTGTAGCTCACTGGTAGAGCACTTGCCTAGCATGCACAAGGCCTGGTTTGATCTCTAGTACCACAAAAAACAAATACATGAATAAATAACATAAGAATTAAACATCATCACATTAAATAGGTTGTTTTATTTGCAAACTTAAATTCCATTTGTATCTCTAGAACATCTAATTGACAAACTAAATTGTTCCTTCAGTCATTACTGACAATATCCTACCCTCTAAAACGTTTTATTAAGCTAGGGTTAAGTGAGAATATTCATTTTTCTCTTTTAGGGAGAAATTCAATTACTTGGTCATTATCCACATTTGCCAGAAAGCAAGGATTTCAAATATATTTTTTGAAATATTTCAAATATATAAAATAATGAAAAGATTTGCATGAAACCCCAACTATTTAGAAAAGCAAACAACTTCTAACTTTTTAAATAAAAACACTCTGGGAAACTTTAGAGTTGAAGTTACTAGGAATAATTCCAAATTAACATAAGCCAGACTGCAAAGGCCCATCACTCACATGGCCCATCTCTTGAAGGCTGAGTGGGAGTTCAAGGCAGGAGAAATTCAAGCAAGAGCAGTCATATTCAGAGCCAGGTGGACCACATACTTATGGATTGGAATTTGATGAGTCTCATTAAGATGGATCATCACCTCCCTAATCTAATTTTCTATGCTTATCCTCAAAGCAACCTGTATAGCCCACTTCCAATTTCTGGTCAATACCTGCCAAAGCGGTTGACAAAGAGTCCAACAGAAAAGGAGCCCATCATGCCACCAACAGAGAAGATGGCCACAGACAAGGACCAGAGGGTTGTAAGCAATGTTTTACTGGGAGGGTCTTCTAACCTCTCTTCCAAAGTATAGTTGAGAAATTCTTTTATGATCTGCAAATAAAATGGTTGGAGGAAGAGCAGACTTGTTACAGTTGGATGAGAACAAGAGACAAATATTAGGGATTGTTTCCTCCTTAAAAGGACAGCATTGCTATGGCTTTATAGGTAGGGAATCACGGGATGTCTGAAAAATCCCAGTAGGTGGCAGCAGTGATATTGTCTGCCCCAGCCCTCTCTTAAGAGTCCCCCCCTCCCCCTACCTCCACCTCCGCACCCTCCTCCACCACTTCTTTGTTACTAACCCCTAAGGGATAATACAGGAAGTGTTATCACCAAAGGGTAAGAGGAAGGACCAGCCCAGGGTATAGGGGAACAAATGAGCTTTTGGCTTTCTTTAAGTGACTCACCTAGACATTTCCAATACATTCCCCCTCTTCTGTCTTAGCCAGGCAAGACAAAAAATTTGTCTTAAATTCTGAATTTTGAAACCCTTCTTAAAATAAAAGAATACTTCCCTTATTCCATAGTCAGAATCTAAATGACTGGTACTCACAGTCTCAGGAGCATTGATGACTCCAGTGTTGTAGCCAAACTGGAAAGAGCCAATTGTAGCAACAGAGACAGCAAAAATCAGAGATGGGGTCACCTGAGGAGTAGAGAAGACAGGGAGGAAACAATTTTTTTTTTTTTTACTGATGATTGTCTCTTACTAATTATAGAAATGGACCAGGAGAACCTGTCCTATGAGTGATAGGAAGAGGACAAAAATACAAGATTTAGAAAAAATTGGAAAACAGGTTCAAAGGACCTGGGGTTAGTTGGTTTGGGAGCATTTTAAAAACTGCACCACGAAAAGGCAAGCATAGAACTGAAGTCCAGGATTGGAAGGGCAGAGGAAAAGATATCCTTGGGATTCCTAAGAACTGATTATTTTGCAAACAGATCCAGTGTATTCTTAGCAGTACCCTAGAATAAATACACAGAAGTGGTGGTGGGTTCATCACTGGGCTGCTCTTACCTCTGGATCTTGTAACCTACTATAGACATGTGCTACATGCTGGCCCCAAGTTGGCCTGGTTACTAAATACTATACTGCTACAGTATAGCAGGGGAGGATACTTGCTTACTTCCAACATTAGGAAACATCTCCTAGAGGGAGAATCAACCAATCATCTCTCACCTAGCTGGGAAATTATTCAAGAGAGCAAGTGGGTAGATCAAATCTTACATGTGAGGCCATTCTCCAAGGCTCCCTCACAATGTCTTCAATCTTTTCTTATTTTAAACTCCTTTTCACTTAGGTCAGACAAGGTGACAGGCTGGGAGCTTCTGTAGGCGAGATGACCTTCCCCATGACTGGTGGCAGCCGCCTCAGGCCCACTCAGAAGAAGCACCCCTCAGGACTCTGCTGCTACAAAGCTCTTTCTGTTAAATCCTTTTCCTTTTAGTAAAACCCCATGGTTCCCCTCTCACCATCATGAGGGCCTTTTTTTTTTTTTTTTTTTTTTTGGTCCCATCTCCTTTCAACCCTTTTCCCTAATTTCCTTTATTTTCAAATAATTTTATCTTAGTGCAAATGCTTTTCTCCCCTACAAATTCTGCATACACCACCCAGAATAATATATTAATATATCCTGCACTCACAATCACAATGATGACAACTGGAATTCTCTCTTATTATCCAAGGAATTCCATAAGGTTACAGAGGGCTGGACACATGACCTGTACCCCCAAACCAACCAGAGTCTTCTTGCTGGATCTGAGACCCACACTTTAAGCCACACAATCAGCAGCCCTAATCCTCTGACTACTCAACCATCTCATGGCATACTTATGTAAAATAAAATTGAGAAGCAAACAAAACTTCTGCAGTGACTTTGCTATGAGAGAAAGGTGAATGGAAGCAGGATATTCTCTTTATCATGTATGACATTCAGAGAGAACTGGTTAAACTGTTGCTTCACAGGCTGAAGGAGAAATGAAAAAAGGCCTTAAGATGGCTCAGTGAGTTAAAATAAAACAGAACACGGTAATCGGCATCTAGATTTGCCGTCCTCCGAGTACCACAAACAAGCCAAAATAACAGTATCATCCTTACCTTCTGTGTCCCCATGGTCCTAATTATTTTTCTTCAAATCCTGAAGAAAGATCTGGGATGGAATTCCAGAGACGCCTCTTCCAGCCAACAAAACCTTCAAAATGTCCTCGGCAGCAAGTTCTCTTCAGGTCTTCAGCTGCGATCGGTACCCACTCTCACCAATACAGCATCTCTAGCTCTGGTTTGGAGCAAGTCTATTTATAATCTCTGCAAAAGGTGGAGCTCTTAAACCTTTCTCCGCCCCTAACCCCATCCCCGACCCACAAACTACCCCGCCCCCAAATAATCCGACCTCAGGAATTTAGCGAACTGTGTTATCAGAACTTCGGAGCTCCTCTCCACACCCTCAGCCCCCTCCCCCTTCCAGGCAATTACCCCATCCCTTTTAAAACCACATCCTGTCACTCTCCACCTCCTCTTTTCTTTCTCTTTTTAAAGCTCATCCAGATCTCTTCCTTTTTCTAATAGCAGTTACAGCCTCTTAGTTTCACAGACAAAATGCTACCAGAAAAGCCTGGAGGGAGGGCAAATACATGACTTTTAGCTCTTGAATCTGCTCGGAATTGAATCAATCTACAAAGAGAAAATAAATTTATCTATATAAGGCAAAATTGAATGGACGCTTCTATCAGATTTAAAACGGTTTGAAGGACTGTAAGCAGAAAGAATTCATAATCCTATAATTTATCAGCTGCTTTTTAAATTATAGGTTGGATGTACAAATCTTGAAAAGAAAGTAAGGTCAATCTAGCCAAAAAAAAAAAAATTGTGAGAAGAATTTTGACCAGTTTTTAGCTCTATGTGTCCTCTGATTAGCATAATTTCACCTAGGATGGATGAAACCTGAATTTCTAGGAGTCAGACTAACTCTGTTGGGTTGTAGGAAGGAGAGATTAACTGTTTATAATACAATCCAAATTCCTTAATACCATTTGCCACAACACCCCTTCTTAATTCTGCAATGATTTGCCTCTAGTCTAGGGTTTATAGCATCTAGAAATGCAATAAATATCACATTGGATTAAACAGATATTTGCTGTTTAAGGTACTTTCCAAGAAGGTGGTGATTCTTCAGTGAATAGGATCAGAAAGTTCTGCTCTCAAGGAATTTAGTGTTTCCTTTCTTCCATTTTAAAAAAAGCGGGGGTTGGGGATATAGCTCAGTTGAAAGAGTGCCTTCCCTGCATCCTGCATGTACAAGGCCCTCGGTTCAATCCCCAGCAAAACACACACACACACACACACACAAGTGTTATTTAAAAAATAAATAAATAAAATAAAAAAGGGGGGCTGGGGTCATAGCTCAGTGGCAGAGTACTTGCCTTGTACATGTGAGGCACTGGGTTCCATCAGCACCACATAAAAATAAATGAATAAAAATATAAAGGTATTGTGTCCATCTACATCTAAAAATATATAAATTAAAAAAAAATTTAAACTAAAAAAGGGGGACAAGGGTTAATGATTCTCACACACCTGGAAAGGATTATTAATATCTTATTAGTTATGGGCTGTGAATTTCTTGAAAGAAAAGTTTGAGATAAATATCTGATTACTGCATTATACACAAAAAAAACCGAACAAGATGAATAGGAAAAAATGAGAAAAATGAGAATTGAAGAAGATGAAGGATAATGAATAGGAGAGAAGAGTGGCTCCAGTATGCAAGTAAACAAAGCAAACAATTTAGTTTGTGGTTAAACAGTTGTGTAAGTGAGAGATAATATCAAGGCTTTGCTGGAGGGGAAACATCAATGGTCAAATTCCTGTGCCCATTAATTTGTAGCCAAGCAACCTTCAGTACCCGGAGACTGGGGTGAGAGGTGGGAGGAAGCAAGTTGGTAAAATAGTTAAAATTTTTCTAGATGGTGAGATGGGGAAAGTTCATCTTCCTTCAGAGTTTTGGTCCTGGGCTACAATCCAAAATGATACCACTGGACCTAAAGCCAATCAGATTATATTTTCTGTTTTCCTTAAATAAGGATACTTCATAAATTCGATCCTTAGCTGAGAAAGAATTGAAGATGAGTGAAATATGACATCAAAGAAAACTGTCCCTGAGATCACACTTCTCCTCCCCCATTTCATCCTTTCCAGGAAACAGGCAGCCAGAAGCGCCATTAATTACCACAGCAACTAAACTTAGAAGCCAAAGAAATAAAAGAATATCCCTATATGGCAGTGCTGTCCAACAGAAATATAATGCAAGCCATTGTGCATACTATATTTTCTAGTAGGCATATTAAAAATTTTAAAAGAAATTAATTGTAATAATTATTGAACCAAATATAACAGAAATATTATATTTTTAGAATGTAATCAATGAAAAAATGGCTAGAGTTTACTTTCTTTGTTTTGGATGTTTTTGAAACCCTGTGTATACTTTAAAAGTTAGAGTGATATTGTAACAGAGGTTCACTTGATGCTTTGACTATATCTCTTGTGGCTTTGAAACTTACATGTTTTTTTTTTCTTTTTCCCAATCTTCTTTTCCCTAAACTTCTCCTCCCTGATCTTCTTTCCCTCCCCTCCCCCTCTCCTCCCTAATCTCATTTTCTCTGAATTACCTCTGTAAAAGCCCCCATTCTTGTGGATGGGCAGAATCACAGCCTTTGGGACAGGAGTCCCCTGTGTTTCTCCTTTGCTAGCAAAGCAATACACTTTCTTTTTCCTTTTTCTCATAGCCTTGTCCTCATTATTGGATTGGCATCAAGGACAAGGACCGCGCTTTCAGCAGCAATATGTAGTCCTATCAGAACAACAAAGTTGTGTTTAGTAGAAATTTTTTTTAGTTGTTGTTGGACCTTTATTTTTTGTGTATTTATATGTGGTGCTGAGAATTGATACCAGTGCCTCACACATGCTAAGCAAGCACTCTACCACTGAGCTACTACCCCAGCCCTAGTAGAACAATATTTAAAACTGCTTCAACTTTAAAATTAAACTTAGCCACACATAAATGCGTAATATAACATGAATCACAGTGCAGCTTATAGTAGGAAAACCATGATGCCCTCTTTACCTCTAGATGATGATGATTCTTCTTCTTCTTCTTCTTCTTTTTAAATCTTTGACTTTTATTTATTATTTTTTGTCACAAAATGTCTCCCCCCCACCTCCCAATACTGGGGATTGAATCTAGGCAAGTGCTCCTCCATTAAACTATATCTCCAGACCTTGAGAAACCAGCTAGCTCACAATAAACACCTCTTTGCTGCTTACATGGATCTTGGTCTCTGGTGGTCTTTTGGGGGTCCTGAATTCAAGCATAACAACCTCTCCACTTTTATTCTTGGTTCTAAATCATTTTGTCTTTTCTTTCTCCCTCTTTTTAGTCTTAAATTTAATTTTTAATGTTTTTGTAGTAAGAAAGTAAAAGATAGGTCTGAACCACTCCATTCAGTTATACAGAGCAGGCTCTAAAGCAAGTCAGAACACAATATTTGCCTCAGTAGTTATTTTCCCAACAGTTATTGAATGGGAACAAATGAAATCATTGTGAAGGCCCAGGATTATACTTATTTTCCCAAATTTGTGTAAAATTGCTATGGAGAAAGATAATACTGAAGATTTGAGTCTTAGATGTTTGAAATCTGTAACAAATCTATTTTCTTCTTGGTGAGAAAGAAGGGAGGTGAAAGGGGGACAGATCTGAGAATTTTTGTTGTTTGTTTGAACTCAATTTGAGATTATCTTGAGGAACCAGGTGGGCTGGGTGAAAGGAAAGTGACCACAACACTCGGAGCAACCAAAAGATCTTTATTGCAGCAGTGCAACAAAGAGAAAGGAAAAAAGGAAAGAAAGAGAGAAAAAAAAGAGAAGAGATGAACAGGGAGAGAGCAAGAGCAAGAGAGAGACAGAGAGCGCGCGTAAGAAAGATAAAGAGCAAGAGAGAGAGAGCAAGAGAGAGCAAGAGAGAGGGGGGCCTGGCAGGAGGGAGTTTTTATAGCCCAAATCTAATGGGGCCTCTGGGTCTGCAAGCTGCCTTGTTGGCCCAAGGGGGGGTTAAGTGTTCAGTCTTAACCAGGGTTGAATGTTCAGACTTGAGGCAAACAGGTGATAAAGGACCAGATAGAGGGGGGTTTGAGTGCGTGGGCTATCTTGCAGCCAACATCTGTTCAGCCTGCCCTGCAGACAACACAGTTCAGCCTGCTCTGCACCCAACACTGGGAATGTAGCTCAGTGATAAAGTGCTTATATTGTCATGCATGAGACCTTGAGTTAGATTCTCTGTGCCACACTAAGGAAGAAAAGAAAGAAAAAGCTAAATGGCTCGGTAATGAAAGAGCCGGTTCTACTTCTAGCAATATGCCTATCTTAAAGGTTACTACTGGAATTCAGCTGAATCTCAAGAATCTAAATGTGTGCTGAACAAATACTCTTTTGAACAAGTGGGGGACCTAAGAAGCTCAAAGATCAGTTTAGTATTGACCTTAGCTTCACATAACAGAGTTCAAGTTAGATAAATCCTCACCTTGGGCAACAGATAACTGTTGCTCAATTAAATGTTTGGGGGAGATTAATTGGTTGACTAAGGTTGTGTCCTTTTGGAGGAGGCCCCACTAGATTCCAAGGCCCTCCCAATCCGTCACAGAACTTATGACCAATCATAAGGGAGAGAGTATGCTAGGGCAGGCCACTAAATCTAGATGCCAAACACTTATTCTGTGTCATTTGATTCCTTGTGAGATCTTCTGTCTTTAAGAGAAATTAAAAAGGAAGCAATAGGCTGAGGTTGTGGCTCAGCAGTAGAACGATCACCTTGCACATGTGAGACCTGAGACCTGGGTTCGATCCTCAGCACCACATAAAAATAAATAAGTGAAATAAAGGTATTGTGTCCAATTATAACTAAAAAAATATTTTTTAAGGGAAGAAATGGGGGGCTGGGGCTGAGTGGTAGAGCATTCACCTAGCAAATGTGAGGTACCAAGTTTGATCCTCAGCACCACATAGAAATAAATAAAATAAAGTTAAATATATATATATATATATATATATACACACACACACACACACACACATATATGGAAATGTGTACATTTCGAAATGGAATAGGTTGGGGAACTAATGTAGGTTAATTTAGAAAAAAATATATATATATTTTTTTGTGGTGCTGGGAATTGAACCCAGGGTCTTGTGCATGCTAGGCAAGCACTCTACCAATTGAGCTATATCCC